ATTATTATTATTACTATTGTTATTATCATTTTATAATAATTATTATCACCTTAATTTTAAAACTACAACAACAACGACGACGACGACGAAGACAACAGCAACAACAACAACAACAACCACAACAACAACAAAGCCACAGCACATACCTCCGAGTTGTTGAAGGCCCCAGCAGACAACTTGAGAGACTTCATCACCAACTGCAGATGTACCAACGCCCTCAGGTATTCCCTGGGGTACGCTAGAGCTACCTTTACCCTGTGCATGGAAGACGAGATTAGATGAGATGAGATGATAGATGGGATGAGATGAGATAATAAATGGGATGAAAGATGAGATGAGATGAAGGATGGCATGAGAGATGAGATAGATGAGATGATAGGTGGCATGAAAGATGAGATAGATGAGATGATAGGTGGCATGAAAGATGAGATGAGATGATAGATGGCATGAGATATGAGATGAAATGAGATGAAATGAGATGAAATGAGATGAGATGAAATTATAGAGGAGATGATAGATGAGATGAGATGACATATGAGATGAGATGACATGATACATTGGGATGAGCGATGAGACAACATGATAGATGGGATGAGAGACGAGGTGAGATGAGGTGATAAGAGATGAAATTATAGAAGAGATGATAGATGAGATGATAAATGAGATGAGACGAAATGATAGATGAGACGATAGATGAGACGATAGATGAGACGATAGGTGAGATGATGAGATAAGATGAGATGAGATGATAGATGAGGTGAGATGAGATATTATACTGCACATGCAAGATAAGATTAGATAATATAATATAATTTAAGATAAGGTGAGATAAGATAAGATAAAATAAGATGAGATGAGATGAGATGAGATGAGATGAGATGAGATGAGATGAGATGAGATGAGATGAGATGAGATGAGATGAGATTAAACAAAGGGGAAAACACCGCCTTATCTCACTGTCTCACCTGGCCACTCTGGCCGCCCACATCAGTCGCACGGTGGCTGTGTACGTCCCGTTCCCGTGGTCCCGCATTTCCATCATCATCCGGTTGTAATCATCCAATCCCTTGAGCCAGGCCCGAACCACGTCCCCGCCCTTGGTCTTGTGATGTCCGTAGCCATCTTTGAGGTCGATCCGGAGGGAGATCGTGTCGCCTATGGTGAAACTTTTGCTGGAAAAAATAGAAAATGTGTGTTGGTTTGTTTGTTTGCTTGTTTGTTTGGTATGTTTGTTTGTTTGTTTGTTTGTTCGTTTGTTTGTTTGTTTAGTATGTTTGTTTGTTTGTTTGTCTGTCTGTTTGTTTGAGTAAACAGAAACACATCGACACGATAAAGTTAATTCAGTGCTGGGAAAAGTAAGACTCATTATGTTTGTTTGTTTGTTTGTTTGTTTGTTTATTTGTTTATTTGTTTGTTTGTTTGTTTAAGTAAAGAGAAGCACATCGACAAAAAAGTGAGACACATGTTTGCTTGTTTTTTGTTGTTTTGTTTTTGTTTGTTTGTTTGAGTAAAGAGAAGGACATGGTCAATATAACGGTCATTTAGTGTTGGAAATGGTCATTTAGAGCTAGGGGGAAAGTAAGAGAGACAGACAGAAACAACAGATAGGAAGAGAGCTAGGGGAAAAGTAAGAGAGACAGACAGAAACAATAGATGAGAAGTAACGAAGTAGGACCTACCACTGGCGCCCTCCAACCACTCGTGAAAGCGGAAAAGAGACAGATAATATTATGTGGCCGATACAACAACAACAACAACAACAACAACAACAACAACAACAACAACCACTTCTACCTTTTATTCAGAAACGTCACGACCGACAAGCTGTCATTAGCCGCCAACACCACCATCACCCCAACACCCAACACCACCACCACCACAGCCATCATCACCACCACAACCACCACAACAACAACAACCACCACCACTAAAACCACAACACCCAACACCACCATCACCCCAACATCATCACCACCACAACCACCACAACAACAACCACCACCACCATTACAACCACAACAACAACCACTTCTACCTTTTATTCAGAAACGTCACGACCGACAAGCTGTCATTAGCCGCCAACACCACCATCACCCCAACACCCAACACCACCACCACCACAGCCATCATCACCACCACAACCACCACAACAACAACAACCACCACCACTAAAACCACAACACCCAACACCACCATCACCCCAACATCATCACCACCACAACCACCACAACAACAACCACCACCACCATTACAACCACAACAACAACCACTTCTACCTTTTATTCAGAAACGTCACGACCGACAAACTCTCAATAACAGCCAACACCACCACAACCACCACCCCCACAACCAAAACACCCTACATCACCACAACCAAAACACCCTACATCACCACAACCAAAACACCCTACATCACCACAACCAAAACACCCTACATC